GCTGAGGCCGGAGGGAGCCGCGCACGCCCCCTAGAGGTCGATGACTTACTGGAGTTGCGGGCTTGCAGGGGGATGCTGTCTTGAGTGAAGAAAAACTTAATTATAGGCCCTTTCTATGAGCCCCATGTCTCTGCATGCCTCAGAGACTTCTTTGCAATGACTCTCTCCGGCTCTAAAACAATTGGCCTAAAATAATCACTGACCTCCCACATGTCAAGGGGATAGGCAAATTGTCCTCTATATCCACTTCTTTTCTGTGGAGTCTTGATCTTTTCTGTAGTCCCAGCCTTGAGGAAGAATCCTCTCACCAGGCTCCAAATCACCTACAGATTTCCCTTCTAGCCTGCATTCTCACTGCCCATACATTCATTCACTCAAGAAGTAATCATTGGTCATTTACTACTTGCCAGACAGTGGGGATATGGTCAGAAGCAAAACAGAGCCTCTGCCCTATGCAGATTTCAGCCTAGTGGAAGGAGAATGGTGATAAATAAACAAAACTAGACTGTACCATATGGTAATAAATGCTAAGGAGTAAGGATTAGAGTGTTGGGGTGTGCAAATTAAATAAGTGAGGAGGTGGCATTTGAGGAAAAATTGAAGGAAGAAAGCTAGACCTGTGGCTGCTGAGATGAAGAATTTCCGGAGGGAACAGCAAGTGTGAAGGACTTGAGATGAACAAGTGACTGGAGTGCTGCTTTAATAGCAGGGAGGCCAGTGTGAATGGATGGGGTAAAAGAGGTAGGAGATGAGGTGAGAGGACTGACAGCACTTGAACTATAGAAAACCCTATAGGCTACTGGAATATGCAGACTTTCATCCAGGGAGCTGTGTGCAAAGGACTGACAAGATCTGAGTTATCTTTCAACAGGGTCTCTGGGTGAAGTGTTGAGAATGGATTATAAAGGAGAAAGGATGGAAAGCAGGTAGATTTGTGTGAGGCGCCTTCTTCAGACATCCAGGCTATGGACCATGGAAACTTGGACTAGGGTGCAGTTGTGGATGTGGGACAAGTGGTCAGATTCTAGATGTATTCTTACTCTTACACCCCATCAGAAAACCCTCCTGATGGGGTGTAAGAGTAAGAAGAGCATCAAGGATGAAGACAATGCTTTTGTTTTGAGCAAGAGGAAAAAAAATGGAGCTGCCATTTATTGACATGGAAAGGCAATGAGTGCAGCAAATTTCAGTCAAGAGAGTTGAGACTGGCTGAGTTTGTTATGCCTATCAGCCATCCAAATGGGGTGTTGATCTGATAGTTAGATATAAGAGTTCAGAGGAGAGATATGGGATGGAGATAAAGATTTGGCCCTGGATTCAATCCCCAGCACAAAACACACACACACACACACACACACACACATACACACAGAGAGAGAGAGAGAGAGAGAGAGAGAGAGAGAGAGAGAAAATGGTGTCAACAGGGTATGGAGGAATTGAAATCATGGAACTGAAGACCTGGCCTAACAAGTGAAAGTAAAGGCAGGGGCTGAGTTTTGTCATGTTTAGAGATTGTGGAGAAAGAACCAGCCGAGGAGACTAAGAAGGAGCAAGCAGGGAGGTAGGATAACTGGGAATCCAAATGAAGAAAGTGTTTGCAGGAAGGAGGAGTGATGAGATGTGTTGAGTGTTGTTACTAAGTCATGTAGACTGAGGACTAAGGGTTGGTCATTGAATTTATCTACATGGGGTACATTTGGGAACTTATAGTAACAGTAGTTTTGGTGAAATGGTGGGGGGGTGAAAGCCTGATTGGAGTAGGTTTTAGAGAGGAAGGGAGGACAAGAATTTCAGATAGAGGATAAAGATAACATTTCCAGGAATTTTGCTACAAAGGAGAGCAGAAAAGTAAGGTGGGATCAGCTCTTGTCTACATCACAGCACACACTCCCACGTGTCATCCTCCTTTCCCTTTCCCACTCCACCATTTTCCACCTCTCCTCCATCAGGCATTTTTTTTTTTTTTTACTTATCATGCTTTAGTATGGTCCCTTTGCTCGTTCAGTTGGAGAACACCCCCAGAGCAAGAGGCTGGTCTCTCCACCCTAATTCGGCCTCCATTTGACAGGAAAATGCCCTCCTCTCTCAAACTGCCCCTCCCGCCGATGTAGACAACCCAGAGTTCTTGTGGAAGGAAGGGAGAGGCAGCGTGTGTCCGGGACCTTTGATGTTTCTCTTTCCCCACAGGGTGGACCAGATCGTGGGTAGGGGACCTGGTGACCGGAAGAGTCGGGAGAAGGGTGAAAAGGGGCCCTCCGACTCAGAGGTGGTGGATGAAATCAGCATGATGGGACGCGTGGTCAAGGTGGAGAAGCAGGTGAGTGCAGGATGGACTTTCTGGGATGGCGGAGCTGGCCGTCAACCGAGAAGCTCTGGAGGGCTTCAGGATCAAAACAAAGGGAGGGTGCGGTTCTCAGATCTGCAGCCGAGAGCCTAGAGCACCCGCCTGGGACACCTTAGCAGGGCCCAAGCTTGCCCTGTCAGGCAAAGCCCCGCCCCACATATAAGCCCCGCCTCCCAGAGAGCCCGCCCGCTCCCGCTGCAGGGTCCGCGTATGCCTGCCCTCCTGCTAAGCCCGGACCTAGGATGCTGTGATCTCAGAGAGGCCCACCTAAATCCCATCTACTCCACTTAACCTCTTCTCTCAGTTGTCTGTCTTCTGCTCTGTCTCAAACAATTACAGCTAAATTTTCCCAAGAACTTGCCCCAACTTCCCAGCTTCGTACTGTCCTCAGTTCAAACTCCGCCTTTCCTGCCACAGCTCTCGGCTCGCCTCTCCCAGATACGCCCCGCCCCCTACACACTTCGCCCCGCCCCTACCGCGCCCCGCTGGACCAAGCCCCGCCTCCTGTTCCGCCCCTACCCGCCTCCGGCCGCGGCCCTTCTGACCAATCCCCGCCCCCAGTGGGTCCCGCCCCTGAGTCGAACCTCGCCCCAAGCCCGCCTCCCAGCCGCACCCCGCCCCCAGGTGCAGTCCATCGAGCACAAGCTGGACCTGCTGTTGGGTTTCTATTCGCGCTGCCTACGCTCTGGCACGTCAGCCAGCCTGGGTACCGTGCAATTGCCGCTCTTCGACCCCGACATCACCTCCGACTACCACAGCCCTGTGGACCACGAGGACATCTCCGTCTCCGCACAGACGCTCAGCATCTCTCGTTCCGTCAGCACCAACATGGATTGAGGGGCTTCTTAGGAACAGGGCAGCAATCGGCCCGGCGATTGGACCCGCCCACTGAGCCTCTCTTACTTGAACTCGCTCCCTTGCGGAGAGAGAGGCCACTTGCAGTATTGAGCTGTCTGGGTGGGCCAGATAACCTGCAGTGGGTGACAACCGCCCCGCCCACACCCCAGGAGCGTGAGATGCCAGGCCGCGTGGAGGAGGGCAGCAGCATCGGCTGCTCGGTGGCCTCTGGGCTCCCCAGTACCCTGCCTGCTCCATCAAGGCCCGACATGGCCCACCCGGCAGGGGCACTGTCCCAGGAGTGGGAGTGGGGCCCTGGGCCCTGACCCAGCTTCCAGCTATGCAAGGTGAGGTCTCTGGCCCACCCTTCGGACAGAGCAGGGAAGCCCTCCCGCCAAGTCCCCACCCCACTTGGGGATGGGCCCAAGGTGCCCCCACAGGTACCCACAAAGCACAGGACCCTGCCACAGGCAGGTGGGCACCATATATGCAAACTATGTTAAATATGCAACTTGGGGACCCCCATGGGGTCCCTCTGCCCCTCCCCCATTGGGAGATGGGCCCCAGCAGTAGCTGGTCTCAGGCTGCTTGGCCATGCCTCCAACCCTATTCTTTGGCTTATCACTCCATCCCCACTCAGCATGGGATCTGGTTCTCCCTTTCCCTCTCCCAGGGGCCTTTCATCCCATTTTCAGTTGTCACCTCCCAGGAACTCCCTCTTCCTGCTGGATGCCCATTCCCATTGTTGGCACTCCAGACACCTTTGACAGCATAAATTTCTGTACTCTCCCCAAACTTCCCAGACAGTGCTTCATGGACAGTCACACAAATATGGCCCTGTAGTTTCTCTATAGGGAAAGCCTCACACTCACTCTGATGCACACAATCACACACCTGAGACATGAGCACAGAGCCACTCAGGTCTTTCCCAGGCCTCTGCCACAGATGCCAGTGAGCTGGCCTTGCAGGGAGATGCTCACTAAGAGGATGCTTCTCGCTCCCTCTGGGAAGGATAGGAAGCTTTACAGTGATCCCAGGTCCCTCCAGGCCCTACCCAGAACCTAACAACTCCCCTTCCTCAAGAAGATAGATTTCTTCTCCAGGAGCTCTAGCTACAGTCTCTGCCTGCCCCAAGGACCTCCTTAGTGTCCCTATAGCATAACTCAGACCCAGGATTCTGTGGAGAAACCCCAGGCCCACCACCCTTCCTAGTTACTCTAACTCTCAGAGAGAACAATAATGCATCTAGCGGCTATACCAACTGTGCACCTGGCTGTCACATGCACCATCCTCTGCCCCACTTCTTCACTTCAGTTAGCAGCCCTGCATACTGGCATAAGTGCCCATCCAACTTCAGGCCCCCAGTACCACTTCCCAATTCCGGTCCCTTTGTTCCTCTTCTGCAAAACCAATGCAGGTGGCAGGAGAGTGAGGGGTAGTGGACCAAGGGTAACACTCTGTGGGTGCTAGGGAACAAGGGACTAAGGCCAGGCTGCCTGCATCTCATACTAGAGACCTGCATGCACCAGCGCCAGGGCTTGGGCTGGATCTTGCTCAGCCTCATGGTGCCCAGCCTCTGCCCTACCATGCCCTTTGCATGTACCATCATGCCCTGGATGGAGCCTCACCTGCACTGCACTGTCCCCAGAGAGCCACACTATCCACCCACTTAGAGACAGAACTATGGAGAGGGCCAGGAGAAGAGGATCGCCCTGTGACCAAAAGAGACATGGGAAAAGGCCCTCCCTCCTTCCACGATCGAGGTTCCCCCACCAACCCCGTTCTCGGATATGCAAGTACCTCACTTTGTTAACTTATTAACTTATTGGTTTCATTAAAGTTTTCAGTAGGAGGTGGTTGGTTTTGGTTTTGTTCAGTTGCTGTGGGTGAAGCTCTTGGTTTTGGGGTGGGAACAGTTGTACTCTGCTGTAAACAATAAAAACACAACCCGTATGTCTTAAGCAAAAAATGAAACATCAGCTCAGAGAATAAAAAATTCTAGGGGATAGATTTGGCTTCATGCACAGATAAATCTAGGTGCTTAAACATGCAAACTCTCCTGCCTCTGCCTTCCTCTCAGGCAGGTTGATCTCTCATGATGACGAAAAAAGTGGGTACCACTTTTCTCAAAGTTTGTCTAGTCAGGAAAATAGAAACAAAGGTAGGTTTTCCAACAAAGAGAATTTACTGTGGGGAGTGGGTTGTACTGCTGTAGGAGGGCCAGAAGAACAAATAGAACACAGAGATAGTGGAGAGAAAGTAGTAGGATACAGTGATCTCTCCTTGAGTTGCAAGAATATAGGAACAAGTTAGGGTTATCAGAACCCCCAAGCTTGGGGTTGGGGATATAGGCCAGTGCCTGCCTGGCATGTGCAAGGCTCTGGGTTTGATCCCAAACACTACAACAAAAAAGAACCTACAAGCTTGCTGAGGGGGATCCCAGTAGTGCTAGCACTGGGAGATCTGAAGAGGAGGGACTCTCAGACTGGTGCTTTTAGGGGGTACAGTGTGGGTCACCTGGAAGTGCAGAAAAAAGCTGATGTCTGGGATCAACCACTGCCACCTGGCTGTGGATGATAAGGATGGGAAGCAAAGGAAGAAGAAAGCCTTCATTCCCAGACTCCCCCTACCACTTCTTCTTATCAAAGCCGCAGTATTACACAGTATTGCACTTGGAACTTAATAAAGGCCACAGGCCAGGCCTTGGACACTCAGTATCTAAAGACATCAACCCACACAGAGTCAAGCCTCCATATAATAACAGTAGCTTCCCTCTAATAAGAAGAAACTATCCTCAAACAAATGAGGACACTTTGTGTTATTCCTCCACCCCAATGTGAATAACACAAAATCCCATAATCCAACAAATGTGTCCATCTCCTGGAGTTGCTGAATCCATATTTGGATGATGTTAATTATTCCTCTAATTCACTCACAATCTTACTTGCAACTAAACACTAAAGTCAAGTTAGTAATCATTTACAATACCCTTATATGAAATAGTAAAGGAAAGGAAGGAGGGAAGAAAAATTAATTAATACATACAAGTCACATACAAGCAAAGAAGAAAAGATGTGTTGCCACAATAGACTTCTATCTGGTAGTTGGTCACATGCCATGGCTGGTGTGTAATTTCTTTCTTCCAGTGCCCTTTGCATTCAGCCAATACCTCAACTAGTCAGCGTTCTTTACATGGTGAAGTGGCCCGGTGTGGATCCACTCCAGAAGGGTCTGAATCCTTAGTGGTCCCGCATGGCTTTGGTGCCATAGCTTTTCATTTATTTCCATGGAAGTACAGTTGTCCCTTGGTATCTTTGGGAGATTGGTTCCAGGATCCATCTGCAGATACTCAAATCTGTGGATGTTCAAACCCTTATATAAAAGGGTGTAATATTTATGTATGAACTATGCACATCCTCCTATATATTTTAAATAATCTCTACCTTCCTTATAAATCTAATACAATGTAGATGCTTTGTAAATTGCTGTTATACTATATTGTTTAGGGACTAATGACAAGAAAAAAGTCTGCACATGTTCACTACCAATGAAACATATGTATATATACACACACATATGGTAATTTATTTCAGTAGCCACAGGAAACTAATATATCTCAGTGAGAGAAGCCCTCTCACTACTTCCCACCCTCACTACTTTCAGAACCTTATATTCTGGTTCTGTCAATGAGGATAAACCATGTCCCCACCAGGATGGGAAGTGTCCAAGAGAATCGACCTGTCATTAAGTGGCTAGGTGGGCCCCTGTGGAGGGATGCTGTATTAGGCATTTAGCAGTGGCACTGACCACATTGACCTTGACCATGTGGGTCCATGTTATTGAACCCATAGTCTGCATTCTGGCCACCATGTCCTCAGTGTACCTGAGCACACTGAGATAGCACTGGAGAGACTGAAGAAAGGTTGACTGACATCTACAGAATGTGCCATCTTGTCCATCTGAATACTGAGAGCCTTTTCTACTATGAATGCCTTTCGGTGAGATTTTACTTGGAAAACAAATGTCTTCACATTTTGTACCATTTCTAAAAGTCCATCGAAAGACCTTCCCATTTTCCTTATGACCAAACCTCCAATTCTATGCTTCCTGATTCCTGGAGCATTCAGCCAAATCATTGGCCACTGCTGGGAAATCAGTGTTGATCCACATTTCCTTGTGTCTCATTCCTGAAGAAATGGATAATTGAATGCCCTGAAGGGTGAGTTGGATAGAGCTAGGCATGGGAACTAGGGTGTTGGTATTGGTGGTGAGTGTTCCAGCTAGAAGGCATAACATGTGTAAAAGTCCAGAGGCACCAGAGAGTGTGGTACTGAAAGGAACAGAAAGAAATCTCTGTGATTAGGCTCAGAGAGCAACAGGAGAGAGAGAGTGGATAGATGGGACTTTCTATAGGGGTCAAGAATTTGTAGGAGTTCACCAGGCAAGGTGGTGGCACACACCTATAATCCCAGCACAGGGTGGAGCCAGGAGGATCACCAAATTCAAGGCCAGCCTGGGCTACATAGCAAGACCACGTCTCAAAAAAAACTAAAGTCTGGTGATGCAACTCAGTGGTAGAGCACTTGCCTAGCATGCACAAGGGCCTGGATTTGATCAAACATAGTTAAAAAACAAAACAAAGCAAAACAAATGCAGGAGTTCATAAATTATTACAAAGAAATAAGACTTAACAGTGAGCACATTAGGAAGCCAATGAAATCTTTTAATTTGGGGTTACATTGGGATAGATTTGCATTTTAGAAAGTCTTCTTCCTAGGATGGCAGATGGGTTTGAGGGAGCAAGCCTGGGTGTGGGGAGACTGGTTGGGAGACTGCTACAGTCATCTGAGCAGCAGATGTGAACAACCTGAACAAGTCCCATGGCATTTCACTAATTGGGTAAATTTCTATTGAGCACCTGCTGTTTGCCAGACCCTGGCTCAGCACAATACACAGGATGAATAGGTGCGGGAGAATGAGTTATAGCCCTGAGGTTGTCCAGCCCCTGGGAGAAACAGATGCACGTTAACTAATACACAAGTCACTGTTTCTCTTCTAAGTTTGTCTGGCTCAGCAAGGAGAGTGTGCAGGTGGCTATGGGATTCTCCAAACTATCATCAGATGTGGCCTTGAGAACAGACACGGTTTTAGCTTGGTATGTCTTTTATCCATTGCTAGGTAACAACTCACCTTAAAATTTAATGGCTTAAAAACAATAACCACTTTATTTACTCTTGATTTTGTGGGTCAGCGGTTTGGGCTGGACTCAGCTGAGCAGGGCTGCTAGTCTCACCTGGGATCAGAAACGAGGCTGTAATCATCTGACATCTTGTCTAAGGCAGGATGGGTGTGTGGTTTGAGCATGTCTCCCAAAGGTTCATGTGCTGGAAGCTTGCTCCCTAGCATAGCAAGGATGAGATGGCAGGACTTTCAAGAGGTGGAAATCACAGAAGATAATTAGGTCATAGGTTACTATCCTCAAAAGGGATTAATGAAGGTCTCATGGATTGGATTAGTTCCCTCAAAATCTGATTATAATTAATTAAGTTGTTATAAAGGAACCTGACATCTTCCCTGAATGCCTCTTCCACATGCATGGTTTGTCACTGTCGTACACACTTCCACCATTGTGATGCCATCTACAGTGAGGCTCTCACCAGCTGGCACCATGCTCCTGAACCTCCAGAACTATGAGCTAAATAAACCTCTTTACTTTATAATGTACCAGCACCCAGGTATTTTGTTATAACAACACAGAATGGACTAAGACAATGGTCTAAGTAGGTTTCCCATGCCTGGTGTTTGGTGCACCCTAGTTGGTCCACAGGCAGGATGGCTTATCTCTGCTCCTCATCTTCCTTTGGCTTCTCTTTCTCCAGTAGATTAAACTCGGCTTCCCCCAAGGCAGAAGCGTAAAGGCAGAAGGCTGTTCCGGCCTAGGCTGGCAGCTGTACCAAGTGGTTTGGGACTACAGTTTTGCAGGGTCTTGGCTTGACTGCTCTGATATATTGCTATTTTTATACTCTTACAGGTCAAAAAGACCCGGGTTGCATGTTCCTCAAGCTAGATAACTTATTTCATGTGCTTTTGACAGGTCCAGTTGTTGAAACAATGTTTTTGTTTTCCCTTTGAAAAGCTGAAAGGCACATCTTCCCCTGCCACTTAACCTTTTGTGGACAATGAGGTTGGGACAACTACCACACTGGTGCATTTGTCACTGTGCACTGCCGTAATGAACACTGCAGACTGGGCAGTTGAACAGAAGACATTTATTTCTCCACAGTTCTAGATGCTGGACATCCAAGATCAAGGTGTCAGCAGAGTTGGTGTCGCTCTGAGACTTTTTCCTTTGGCTTGTGGGTGACTGTCTTTTTTCAGGGTCTTTCCATGATCGTCTCTGTGCATGTACAAGTCTGGCGTCTCTCATTTTCACTTCTTATAATTTCATCAGTCATTTTGGATTAGAGCCCACCTTAACAATACCATTTTAAATTAATTACCTCTTTGAAGGCCCCGACTCCAAATACAGTCACACTTTGAGGCACTGGGGGTTAGAACTTCAACATATGAATTTTAGATGGGGCATGATTCAGTTCATAACATCTGGAATGGCATTGAACCTACCAACTGGGTCCCCTTTCTATAAATGTAAAGAGACTGAGGATTCTCTGGGGCTTGTTCCATCCCAGCTGGGCACAGGTGTCATGTGTAGACATCATGGAACCAGAGGTTTGAAAACCTGATTTGTTTAGTTCCAGAACTTTTGCTATAATGTAACCTATTTGGAACCCCAATATTGATGTATTTGATAATATCATCAGTGCAACCACAAAGTGGGGACCCCTCGAGATGGATTTAACTCTCATCCTGCATACACATTGAACACGTACCCAGTATTTTGTTGCAGCCAAAATAAATGAGGCCTGTCTCCATGATGCATTCTTATTTAACTATTGCAGTAATTTGTATACTGAAAAATCTGAAAGTTGTGTTTGAAAGTCTTTCTTC